GTACAGGGAAAGGTATTCGCTGAGGGATTTGCCCCCCCCGCTCCCCCCACACTGAACCCTTCATAGATGCTCCGTGGCAGCCCTGACCCCATGGGCCACTTGCTCAGAAGCAAGCAAGGAGCTGACCTGACCGAGTCTCGGGACACTAGCAGTGGTGAGACTGGGGTGTCTGTCTTGAGTGTTGTGGGATAGAGGGTTCCAACAAAGACCCAAAGAGTAGCTCCAACTCTAGGCACAAGATCCAGATTTTGATAGAAATTTCAAAACAAAACAAAAAAGTCCGTAATGTTTGAGGACACTGAGATGAATCTGAAGGACAGAGAATGCTCCTGCCACACGGCCTAAAGGCATGCAGGGTGGCCAGTGGAGAGCGAGACAGGGGAAGCCTAGGTGATCGCCCAGAGACATCAGGGAATAAGGATGGCATTCAGTATGCCCCACGTCTACCCAGAGAGGCAGATCCCTGGGCTGGCTGAAGTAGAGGGTCCTTCCTCTTGCTCCAAGGGGCTCCCACTCACCTCCAGCAAAGCTTTAATGTACATGGTGCAGGGTTCGCCTCCTGGTTGCTGTGAGGCTGCACGGTGGTACCCATCTCCAGTTCTCTGGGGTCCAAGCAGGATGCCTAAGGCAGAAAAGAATGAGAACAGACTGCTGGGTGAACTAATAGACTAAAGATCTCAAAAAACACAGAGCTCTGGAAACACCAAAGTCAAAATGAGTTTAGAATTGGGGACCCGAAACTCAGTCTTTCTAGAGAAATGCCTAAGGAGAAACTAGGAGGGGCGTTACAGATGGTTAAAATTTTTTATTTCATGCAAAACAATTTAAGCTCTGGATTCCCAAGCATACAGAGCGATCTACATAGTTTCAACACAAGATATGCTCACTCCAGGCTCCATTGAGCACTGGGGCACTTGGATTTTATGTCGTGGATATGAACTGTAAGAGGTTGGGAGCTGAGAATGCCCCGCTTTAATGAGAGTGTCACTCAAAGACAGTGGGACTTTTCAGCATTGCTGGAAGTGTGTGCAAAGATCTCAAGCGCGAGTACTGTCCATTGATTTGGGTTTCTGGGGGTAGAAATCTGGACTTTATTTTGGGGGGTGGCAGAATCAAAATTTTCTATCACACTAAGGGCTTTGGGCTTCCGCCAAAAGGCTTTAAAAAGACTTAATAGTGAGATTGTTTGCTTGTGGGAGATAAGCCTGTAGAAAGCATGATACAACAGATTTTATGGTTAACAGCTTTGGACTTTCTTATTACAAGCAACGAGAAACATTGGGAAATCGTAAATAGGAGAGTTAGCAGGCACACATTTAAGAATCATGCCCAAACATTCTGACTTTCTATGCTGAGGGCATGCCAAAGTTTGACTCTCAGGGCATGCCAAGGAGATATGATTAATGTTGACGCCGAGGAAAGGTTTTAATTAGAGGGCTTACATGGCCGAGATGGGGACTGTGCAGGAATTTATTTAGAAGCTCTGACGTGATGAGATTTTTGCACATGCTTAAAAATTTGATTTATCCAATTCTAACGGGGTGACACGGTGAGTTTTTTTGTGTGTGATAGATATAACATAGCACAGTTATGAAATCAAATGCTCGCTGTATGCCAAGAATCTGGACTTTTTATGTCGTGCACAATTAAGAGACATTGCAGGGTTCTTAAGGTGGAGTCACAAGCTCAGATTTAATGAACTGGGCAAAGACGTGTGAATTTTATTCTAAGGGATGACATATCAGAGTCTAATATCACTCCAATAAGTTCGGATTTAAGCCAATAAACGGCTTAAAGTGTGATGGGGGAAGATTTGTTGGTCTTTTTTTTAAAAAAAAAAAAATAGACCGGCCCGGAGGTAAGTGACATGGTAAGATACTGCACTGTCTGTTAAGAATTTGGGGCTTGTGTTACAAAGAAACTTTGCAAGGTTTTAAATCTGGGAGTGACTCCTTCCGGTGCATGAGTCTGGCAGAGAGGAGAGTGGCTATCAGAACATGGTTGGATGTGACACTCGCTCACATCGAGGACACTGGTGTATCCTGAGCGAGGGGTGAGACACCATTTTTAATCCTTTCGTGTGGGGAGGGGGCTGCTTGGAATTTGGCCAAGGAAGGTTTTTAAGGCAGGAAATGGTCAAGAGTTTTGTCTCCAAAGAAATCTGATGATTTAAAACATGTTTTATGCTAAGGTGTGTGGATTTGCCGTTCAATGCATGCATGAATGCTCACTGCCCCTCGGCGCAAGGGGCAGTGGGGCTTCTGTGCGGAGAGGCTGGGTCACCTACAGCATGGGCAGAGGAGTCAGACGACATTTACACAGCATGTCAGGTTTGGACACGGTTTTGAGGCATGCAAGGAGTACACTGTCATGCCATGCTGAGGAATTTGGACTCTCGCCATGATGAGATTTTAGGGGAATGACATCATGAATTTCGTGTGTTGAATAGGCTCAGTCTGCTGAGAAATGGATGACTTTATGATCACTTTAAGACTTGGTCTCATAGGTAAGGCAGAGATTTTGCGAGGCTGGAAGCAGAAGCTACAGGAGCCAGTGCATGCATGTTACAAGAAGTATGGGCTATTGGTGATCACCTGAGAGCTTTGGCGTGAAGGCAGTCAAGGGTTTCTGGGGTGGCCTATGAAACTGTGGATTTTGTATTAATTAAATCACATGGTTAAAAATCAGCAATTAAACCACAAGGTTAAAAATTAATTTATGCTAAGCAATTGGAACTTCATAGATGAAATGTGTATGTGTTAAATAGAAAATCATAAGATAGACATTGTTTATACTGCTAAATGTTTAATTTCTGATATCTAGGCTTATTAAGATATTTAGAACATGAGATGTTTGGTTGAAAGGTGGAAAGGAGAGGCAATCGTTCATGTGATCTTGTTAATCTTTTAAGTGTGGACTTTTTGTTAAGCAGATGTATCATCTAGTTTTATAATCGGATTGCTACAAATTTAAATTTTAAACCACGAGCTTAAATGGGAGACCTGCTGAGATTTTTATGCCTGACAGATGAACCTGTAGATGCATTAGTCAAATTTTACATTTCACTAATAGTGCATGCCATTGAGAACTTTCATGAAGAGAAAATGAGCTGACTTATGTGAAACGCTGTGCATGTTTCTGAGATGGTTGCTTTACCTCATTTGTGTACCAGGTTTAGAAACGGTGACCTCTCCCTCCAGGAATGACAAGTCCTACTTGGGCATTGTGCTAAAGCCTTTCAGTTTTAGCCAGAGAAGGTTTTTTGGTTAAGTTTACATGTCAGATGTGTTTATACAAAAGGTTTGGATTTAATATTGCAGACAGTAAATAAACAGTGAGAGGCTTTAATCAGAGGGCTTCCATGATCAAATGTAAGTGCCAGGCTAACAAGGGGATGTCTAATTCTGAGAAACTGCAGATCCAAATGCTTTATCCTGCTGGAAGGTAGGAATCTGAGCCAATGGGAATTTTACATAGAGAGCAGCAAGGAGATTTTTGTTTATATTTGTCTTTTGGGGTTTGCTTTGTTTACGTTTTTTGGTTTTGGTTTTTATTGTTGTTGTTGTTGTTTGGGGTTTTTTTTTTGTGTGTGTGTGTGTATGTGCTTTTCGATAGGTCAGCTTAGTGGCCCTCAAAAAGAAAATTGAGAACAGAGGTGTTAAATTTATAAAGACCATGGCTTTACGGCTGGGGTAGTGAATGGTTTCATTTGTTTTGCAAACCAATACATCCCTTTAAATTCAATTTCCGTGCACTAAATCCTCCCATGGCTAGATTTTCAAAAATTCCAGGACAAACAGATTGCAAAGGTGCCGTGCCCTCCTCTCACCCGGCTCCGCACCTCTGTTGGATACACCCCTGCAGCGGAGGAGATCAGCAGTGACAGAGAAAAGGGGGTGCTTGTAAGAATGAAAAGACTGTCCCTGCCTGAGCAAAGGGGAAACTTGGAAAGACGGGATCCGAGAGGCACGCAGAAATGTTTGCATGGACAGAATTGAGGCCAGATGTTTGAAGCTCCAGGGGCCCTGCAGACCAGGGCAATCCTGGGAGGGTCGATTTTAGAGAGGCTGGGAAGGGTGGTGTTTGGAAACCTCCAGCTCAGCGCTGGAGGTAGAGCGTGGCTTTGGATGGAGATCAAATTGACAACACGAAATCCACCCCATCCCACCCACCCCCAAAGTATGACCTAGGAGAAAGCAACAAAGGTGCGGGTTTTCAGCACACAGTAGGCATTTTATAAGCATTTATGGGGAGAAAATTAAGAGCAAAAGTCACACTCTCTCCCACTTATCTCAGCTGGGAGCCTGGAGGAGGAAATAAGAGCTATTTTGGCTGCTGACCCAACAGGCAGGAGAGCGGCCAAGTGCCCGATTTCTCCTCTTTCCCCAGAGTTGATGAGACAGCAAGCATCTCCCTGCAGGATCCCGCCTCCAAGCAAGCATGCTGTGCTGGCTCCAGACCACCAAGCCTGCCAGCAGTGGCTTCGAGTGGCATTGAGATGTGACCCTATGACTTTCGGATGACTAGAGACAGGAAGGGAAACTGACCAGGCATGGGTGCCAGGGCAAAATGGGCCAGAAGTGTGCCCTGCCAGGTTCTTGCTTGCCACGGAGGACGCTCTGGGCCAGTTGCTCCACAAAATTTATGAACTGTGAATTTCTCATTCCAGTGGAGGAAGGAGGCAGGCGGGGCAGTTAGACTCCGCCTGGGAGGCAGGTCAGGGGTTGAGTCTCCCCTCTAGAGGTGCCCCAAGTGACCAGAGGAGGAAGCTGTATTGAATGCGGGGAGAATTTCTCTGGTTTCCCTCTGATTCTAATTACTTGGGCATCTGCTTTGCCCTTGAGAATCTGACCCTGACATCTTGAGACCCTAAATTGCTACTTTTCTTCCTGCTTTTATCCCTTTCTGCCCGTAGGTTCTGATCTCCACGGTCGCGGTCGCTGACCACACTCATCACAACCTTACCTGTCTTCAGAGCACAGTCCTTTCCAACCGACGACATGATAGAACCCTCTGAAGACTCATTTGAGACGATGATGGAGCTTAAGAATCCATCATCAAAACAAATGGAGTCCTCTGAGGGCTCATCCAACACCGTTGAGGAGACACCAGGCAGCAGCGGGGCACAGGCGCAGGCAGAGGCGGGCTCAGGCAGTGGCCCAGTCCAGGAGGGAGAAGAGCCACCCAGTGACCCAGTCCAGGAGGGAGAAGAGCCACCCAGTGGCCCAGTCCAGGAGGGAGAAGAGCCACCCAGTGGCCCAGTCCAGGAGGGAGAAGAGTTACCCAGTGGCCCAGATCAGGAGGGAGAAGAGCCATCCAGTGGCCCAGTCCAGGAGGGAGAAGAGCCACCCAGTGGCCCAGTCCAGGAGGGAGAAGAGCCACCCAGTGGCCCAGTCCAGGAGGGAGAAGAGCCACCCAGTGGCCCCGTCCAGGAAATGCAAGAGCTGCCCACCGATTTACTCCAAGACATGGAGGAGTCACCCAGTGATTCATATGAGGAAAGTGAGTATTCATCCAGTGACCAAGACCTGGAGGGGTCCTACTATAGCTCAGATCCACTCAGTGAGGCAACTGATGGCATCGATTCCCTGTCGGTCAACTCGGCAGATGGCGAGACTGACCTGGAAGATGAAAGTGGGGAGCTTGAAGACGAGGGTCAGCCCAGGAGCTCTCCAGAAGAGATGATGGCCGCGATGGGCACCATCATTTCCATGTTCCTCCGAATGCAAGATGTCAAACAACAGCAGATAGTGACAGAGGAGCTCTTGACGCAGGCCATCGAGGACGGCGAGCTGCCCACCATCAGACGCTTCTCTGGAGATCGAAGAGACTACCATGAGTTCATCGTGCTCTGCCAGATGACCATGCAAAGCCACCCATCAATGTTCTCCAATGACCAGCTGCGAGTTAAGTTTGTCATCCGCCATCTGTCTGGCCTAGCCTTAGAGTGGGCCAACAACCTGGTCGAGCAGAACAGCCCCCTGATAAACGACTTCACGGGCTTCCTGAACGCCATGTCGGAAATGTTCGAGTACCGGCAGACGCTACGTGTGGCCGAAGACGCCATGTTCAGACTCAGGCAGGGGAACCGCAGCGTCGCCGATTACATCAATGAGTTCCAGAGTCTGATACCCACCTTGGGCTGGCCAGATGAAGTCCTGCAGGCCCACCTGTGCCATGGGCTCAATGAAGACATCAGGCACTATCTGTTCCGGATCCCTCAGCCGGATTCCCTGGAGAACCTGATGGTGGTCGTCCTGCAAATTGAAGACAAGCTGGCAGAGAGGAGGGCAGTGCTCAGGCTGCCCCCCGAGTCCCGCCCAAGGAACATGACCTGGATCGACTCACCTGCCCCAGAGAAGTGGCGGGTGAGCAGCTGGCTGTCCCACAGGTACTATCCAGACATCGATCGTGCCCACCTCTTCCTGCTGCTCATGGTGAGGGTGAGCCCCTACCACAGCGTCGCAGTCCAGGCTCTGGTGGACTCCGGAGCAGAAGGGAACTACATGGATGAGAGGTTTGCCCAAGAACACTACGTGGAGCTCTATGAGAAACCCTATCCACAGGCAATCCAAACCGTGGATGGCTCTCTGATTGGCAACGAACCCATCTGGCTGTACACTGAACCCCTGATGTGCATCCAACAGAACCATTACGAGTACATTGAATTTGACATCGTACCTTCGCCCCACTTCTCTGTGGTCTTAGGCATCAAGTGGCTCCGAACCCACGCACCTGACGTTGACTGGACCAGAGGCCGTTGCACCTTCCACTCTCCCTACTGCCTGAAGAATTGCTTCCACCCACCCCCACCATGCATCGCACTGGAGAAATACAGCATGAGCCTGCTACCCGGATTGCCGCACCCGTACTCAGACCTGGCCGACGTGTTTAACCCGAAGGAAGCAGATGATGAGACTTCCGACCAGCCAAGCTCAGACGGATCCGATGATCTTTCTGAATCAGAGCCCTCTGAGCTTCAGCAGGCTGGAGACAGAGATCGAAACGACGTCTTTTATGAGTGTCCTTCCAAGTTGTCTTTGGGATCTGTGGCTGCCAGGATGCAAGAAAGAGCCAGGCAGCAAGAGGAATACTGGATTTTGCATGACATGCTGATGGACAGACAGGACTACATACAGGTGATACCAGAACTCTTTGACCAATTACATGGAGCTGTATGGTTCACAAAACTGGAGCTGCGTAGAGACATTCAGGGAACTGATGAGAACTACAGCGTCACACGCACAGAAGACACATGGAGAGCAACATTTGGTTTGGGCATTCACCAGATGAGATGCTACCGGCCCTTCACACTGTACTCATTTGCTGACGAATCTGATAATGAGATTCACGCTGTCCTAAAAGACATCCTAGGCTTCTACGTGATTTGCCGTGGCAAAGAAGTCCTGATCTACTCAATGACCCAGGAGGAACACTTTGAGCATGTCCGCCAAGTTCTGCTCCGCTTTCGCTGTCACCGTGTCTACTGCTCACTGGACAAAAGCCAGTTCCATCGCCACACTGCAGAAATCATGGGCTTCGCACTATCCCCCAAAGGGGTGAAAATCAACAAGACCCTCATGAATCTCATTACGGGGTGCCCTGTCCCTGGCAACAGGAGGTGCCTGCAAGCCATTATTGAACTCATGTTTCCCTACCGCCACTTCGTGGAGCACTTCGCCATCATCGCAGAGCCCTTGGTGAGGCAGCTGCTAAAATCCGAGCCTTTCTACTGGGGAGAAGAGGAGCAGGAGGCCTTCGAATGCCTGAAGAGGGCTTTCCGCAAGGCACCCATTCTCTACCACCCCAAGCCTCAGAACCCATTCTACTTGGAAACGGGCGTCACTGGGTCATTCATGTATGCCTCCCTGATCCAAACTGATGAAGAAACTGGCAAGAAAGCTACCTGCGCCTTCTACTCACGAAAACTCTCCCCAATGGAGGTGGATTACCCTCAAGTGGAGTTGAGGATCCTTCCAATTCGGGCTTCCTTCATGGTGTGGTGCCGCTACCTGGAGAACACCGAGGAGCCCATCATGATCCTTCTCAACACAGAGGATCTAGCCTCTCTGAATAATGACAGGCTCACCGTACTTCTCCCCGGGCATTGGGTCTTCTTCTTCTCTCACTTCAATTTTGATGTAATGGAGTTGCCTGATCAAGATGACACCCGAGCCCTGTCCCATCGGAGAAGTCGAAATCAGAGAGGCTTCAGGGGCAGGTATATGCGGCCGCTGCTGCTGCTTGCCATGAGGGGAGGTCAAAGGGACTCATCCTCTGAGTCCGAGTCCGAGGACAGCGAAGACGAGTCATATCAAGAGTCGGAGGAGGAGTTGAATCGGCAGAGCCTGGTGCAGGAGCTACTGTCCACCATCCCGATAGAGCAGATTTTCAACAGTTTCCTGGCCCACTTAAATATGGCCCAGGTCCGGGCCTTCGTCCTCAACTTCTTCTATTGTCTGCTCCGCTGGAAGAGTGTCGTGAGCGTGGCAGCTCTCCTGGTGATGCTGAGGGTGAAGCAGCAACAAGCCCCTTCTCCACTGCCTGCCCCTTCTCTGGAGGTGGTCGGTCCTCCGCCCCGACACACACTCCGACTCATCTTGGACTCGAGCCTCATCGCAGGTAGTGGTATGATCACAGCCATCATCCAGTTGTTCAGCCAGATGCCCCCTCTCCTGGGCGCCAACACCATTCCAGCTCGACAGCTGGCTGAAATGTTCCTGCTCCCCAGGTGCTGGCAGAGGAATGCTCTGCATTCCCAGCCCCCGCGGGGCCTGCGATTCACCCCTGGGTTCTGGTTCACCCTGTGTCAGTTCTTCGGGATCAGAGCCACCCCCGAGGAGGACATCTTCCCAGACCAACTCGGGCATCGATACTTGGAGCTGCACGTCGTTGGTGATGAAGATGTCGTCTTGCGAGAAGCCCTGCAAGACGACCTGCAACGTTACCGTCAGTGTGGCCTGCATGACGGCCTGCAAGACACCTCGCAGGACGCGCAGGACAACGACGTGCAAGAAGCCCTGCTTGGCGACCAAGAAGCGGTCACCTTCCGCCCACGAGATCTGTTGGACCCAGAGGTCCTAGATTTCCTTAACAACCGCCTACTCTACATTCTGGGTGCCGATGGCCGACTTACTCTGATCAGCAGAGATGAAGTGGCCCGGGCCCTCACACGATTCCTGATCATGGCCTCCAGAGTAAGACCGCCTCCTCCACCCAGCAACACACTATCTTCATCAGATGATGAACTTGACTGAAAACACAACAAAGACTCTGCCTTCCTCCCTGTGCCTCAGCTAGCTTCGCTTCAATCCAGCGCCCCCTTCTCGCCACTCCTGACCCAAGGGGAACCCATTTGTGAAGGGCCACAACTTCAACTCATCAACCAGCAACATCATATCTGCTAGAGAACTAGTCGACTACCAGCGTTCCAGAACCAGCTAAGACTGTGTGTGTAACCCTGTCCAAACTGTCCAAGACTGTGCAACCCTGTCTTCACTCTCCAAGACTGCGCAACCCTATCCTAACTGTCCAGGCCCCAAGCCCACAGCCGAGAGTGAGAGCAATGAGAGGAGAAAGCAGTGATGAGCAACAATGACCCTGTCACCCCAGGCCAGATGCAAAGCAGGCACAGCAGGCGCAGCCAAGCAAGCAAATGCCAGGAACTCCACCACCACCCTAGTGGCGTGTGGTCACCTGTGCATCCTTGGACACTGACCTCGGGTGCTCCACTGACTTCTACCTCCACACCGGTGCTCCAACTCCCCTGGGCCCCACCTCCACCCCCTCCCAACCTCCCAAGGTATTGCAGCACCATGCCTCCCCGAGCCCCAGTCCACCCTGCAAGCAAGTCCACCCCACACTACCCATCTGGTCTGGCTCCCCTGACACTTCAGCTGACCCTGAACTCTGAACTCTGACCTTACCTGAGCAGAGCTGCTCCATGGGGCATCTGACGTACCAGTGTGACTTACCTGATAGACTTGTCCACCTTAAGGTCCCCGAGACTCAGGGGACACCAAAAAAAAGAAGATGGTACCACCAAGTGGGGCTCCCTTTCCCAAAACTGACAACTGGACAGTGCAGGGGCCAGAGACCCCACATAAAGGAGGGAGCCCCCAAGGACACTGGTGAAGCCCCAGACACCCAGCCTACTGTGCCTTGGAGCCAAGAGTGCTCTGAGCAGACCACTGCTCTTTGTGATGGGAAAGAGCTCCTTCCCGTATTTTCCCACCCCACTTCTGCTTTTGCCCCACAAATAAAGAGAATAAAAGATGATCTGGCTTTGTGCTTTGTTCTAATAGGGAGGGGGTGACAGCGAGAGATAGGTTTGGGGAACAGAGAGCATGGGGGCAGAAAGGGTGGAGCATGTAGAGAGGGATGGGGGTGGGCCAGTACAAGGGTGGGAGGGCATGGGCAGGAAGGCTTGACTCGCTCGTAAACAGCTCATGGAGATTAAAGAGAGGGAAGCCACTCCACTCTCGCCCCCTCAAGCTCATTCCAAGGGGAGCTGCACATGGGAAGGAGACATGGGGGCTCATAGGGGCAGAGGGAAGGTGCCCCCAAATCCCAGTCTTCCTCGAGTCATATGACAAATGAGGAGCAGTCAGGCTGTGTTCTATGCTCATGGCTAAGGGGACACCACACACACAGCCTGGAACCATTCCCACAGTTAGAAACATTCCCAATAAAAAAGGCCCGGATCCCCACCCTATAGCTATCCTGAGGGTACATTGGTCTGGGGGTAGGTAGGAGCCACAGGGGGAGTGGAAATAAGGGGAGTAGCCCTCATTCACAAAGTCTGTACCCCTACTCAGAAATACCCCTTCTACAGGAAGTCTACAAAATGGCTCTCCCAGTGTGACCTCAAGGATAGCACAGAGATTCAATCCACAGGACCCTCATATCCAAGGGATACTAGCTCAGCCCTTTACATCCTGCCTGGAAATCTGACCTCAAGTTAACTGCAAGAGACCTCCTCTGTCCTGAGAATGTGTCAAGGTCCTGGATACCCAGCGTGACAACCCAATGTGATCCCACCTATAGCAACATAGCTGAGCTTGGGGCCCAGAGAAATATCCCTGAGAGCCAAAGACCTCATCCCTCCATGCCCTCTCCAGCCCACACTGGGATCCCTCTGCACTCGTGAGTCCTAAGGAGCAACTGGCTACTGGCTAGCCTCCTTAACGGGGAATCTACCCCTGACAGCAGCACCAGGAGATCATGGGCAGGATCCCTGGTTCAAGGTCAGGGGCTCAGCCTCACCTCAGCACTTTCTCCTGTTCCTAAGAAAGTTGCCAGTGCCCCCCCCCGCCCCAGGCCCTGTAAAGAGGACAAATTAGTCTACCTTCAATCCCCCTGTGCATCACGAAGAGCTATGGGGGACTTCTAGAAGATTTCAAAGGGGTCACAATGAAGTGTTGAGTGCAACCATCACAGAGTTCCTACCCTCCATCTCAACCAGGAACTTTTTGGTGTCATCTGTTCCGAAAATCATGGTACAGAGAGGACCACAGAGGGAAGTGGTCACAGGCAGGTCTGGGGAACCTCTTTTGTGGTTTCTATCCTCCCAACTTGGGCCTTTCTACTCTCACAACCTATGACCTCAGAACCCAACACGTGACCCCCACATACAGCTGACTTCACAACAGCCCCAGAGACAGAGGCTGTTGTTGTCTGTCTGTCCCTCTAAGATGGTCCCAAATAACACAGTATGGGTCAGGGTCAGAGGTTCAGCTGCAACAATCCCAGCATTCCTTAAGCAAACTGCTTACAGAAACCCCTGGCCCCAAGTGACAGGACTACCCTCCCACTGACCTACCTTCCTATTCCCCAGAAGGGGGTCAGTTTCAAAACAAGGCCATCATAAGAGCCTTTGGTTCTGAAAGTACTCCTCGGCTCCCAGGACACTCTGCTTGGAATTCCTAAGAAGGGGCCCATGACCTTGAGGTGGGACTGGGGTCCTAATGGGGAGAACACACACACCACTGCTGTACCCTAGCTTCATTTTCCTGGGGACCTCACACACAAAGCTGGACATCAAAAACAAAATTCTGTCCCTGCTTGGTGAGGACCTGTCTGGGTGCAGTGGATGAACAGATGATGCGGATGTGCCTGCTGCTGCCAGGGGACCCGAAGCCTTCCACAGCAAGGGGGAGAAGTGGCAAAGGAAACTTATCAATGGGCCAGGAGCCTGCCAAGAGTCTGGCAATGATGCTATCACAGAGGTGGGCGCATTTACCCACCACCCACACATACACAGACTGTGAAAGACCAATAAAGGCCCACTGGCCTGCCAATCTACCCAGCAGGGGCTTTGTCCCCATTTCCAGGAGGAGAAGGCAGCCCAGGCAGTAAAGAGAGGTAGAGACGCTAAAGCAGAAGGTTATCGGGTTATCGCGGAGCCACTTAGAAAAGGGATTGAAAAGCACAACACAAACCTTTTTTTTTTCTCCTGGGGAAGAGAAAAGCAAAGAAAGAAATTGGTGTGAAAGTTCCTGCTAGGTGATTATGACATCACTCCCACCACAGTAAAGGTGAAAACCGGAGACCGGCCCCTGGCTGCAGACTCCACCCACCGAGGAAGTGCCCCCACTTCCCAGCTTCAATCCCCATCCAAAGAGCTCTGAGAGCATCCGGGAACAAAGAAGAGCACAAGGCCCTCCCTTGGCCACCCTGCTTGTCCCCTCCCTTGCTTCCCGTCCTCCCCTTATAAGATGCCCCTGCAGGCTACAGGCCGGGCATATCAGTTCCAGAGCCGGTAACAGCATATACTCCAGCTCCTCACCAGCAGGACTGGATTTGCTACTTCCCATTACAGGTGACCATGGGTCACATTAGAGGTTCCCACGCAGGACCCTGAGCCAGGAGTTTTACCAGCTCCTAACCAGCCTGGAACAGAGGAAGAAGACTGCTGCCCACCTAGGTAACCTGGATTGGCCCCATAGTAAGAAAGGGAAAGGGACAGATAAACTATCACCGCCCCCCCCCCACTCCCTGCAACTGCTCCTACCCACCTTTAGCCCTGCTGCTGGGAACAGGGGACCACTTACAACCGTCTCTTTCAATCAGACACAATCTGACACCTGAACAGCGAACATCATCGGACTTCCATTCACCTGTGGGAGCTCAGGGGCCAGCATGACAATCCTGACACCATGAAAGATCCAAGGTGCACAGGTAGGAGGAAGAGGTGCGGGGGGTGGGGGTGGCAGTGAGGAAGGGAGCAGGGAAGAGATATGAGGCAAAGGGAAGGGTGGGGAAGGGAAGGGCAGGGCCCTGGGTCCCCCCCCCCTGTCCTGATCTCAAGTCCTTTCTCAGCATCAAGGCTCCCCACTCAGGGTCCTCCTGTGTGCCTGGGCTGGCTGCCATAGCTGGTTAATGCAGTTAATAATGGTAGTGCCGTGGGAGTAGAGATGCCCCCGCCCCATGCATGCAATGATCTGAACTATTGGGGTACAGAAGACAGGACTCGGACAGTTGCTCATCGTGCTGTTGAAGTATCTAGGGCACCCAGCCTGGGCAGGGGTTTCACAGAGGAAGAACCAGGTGACTCTGACAGCTCTTAGGGGATCCACGGTCTGAGGTGAATGAGATGAGACGTCTCCAAAAGGGCTCAAGGAGAGAGTAAGAGGCCGCCTGTAAGGGACCTCAGCCTCCTGGTCATAAAAAAATAATCCTGGATAGAGGCAGAGGCCCCTCAAGGAGACCCTGTTCTGGGAGCACTGGTAAGGCGCAGCCCTGCTCTGTTCCAGCCCTGCCCCCCTGTCCTGCAAACAAAGACACCATCTCTCCGGGATCCACCCCTTTGTCCTGTGAGCTGGGTCCCCTCAGAGGGTGTCCAGGAGGGAACAGCTCCTGGAATCCCAGTGGGAGAAGCCCCAGAGTAGGCCCAGGATCGACCTCTGACCTGTCTACCCTTGGCCACAGAGTCAGGGGGTGACCCTTGGCCCAGCCCCAGGGAATGTCCCACCAGGGATATAGCTCCCCCTCCGAGGAAGGACCTCAGAGATGGCCCAGCCCCAGGCATTCCCCTCTAGAAACTAGGAAGGCTGTGGGGAGAAGAAAGAAAGCATGCCAGGAAAGAGCAAGCTGGAAGATACATCCCGGTAAAGCCCAAGGTGCTGAGGAGGGTCTGGAGGCTACACGCGGTTGAAGGGGGTGAAGAAAGGCATCATATAGGAGCTGAATGGCTGTGCAATCAACTCCTGCATGACGCCGTTCCCACCCCCCAACTTCTGACTACGATGAGATGTGACCCTCCTCCTGAAAAGAAGCAATGCAAGAAGCCGGACGACAGGTAGGACAGATTCCCGCTGCTAGTAGTTAGAGAAAGGACAGGAAGGGGCAGCCAGCCCTAGGGCACCTGCGGAAGTGTGGACCCGTCCACCCTCCTTGTCCAACCTGACCTCTTCTAAACTCATCAGGAGGCTGCAGCCCATGCAGGTGATGGGGGAAGGGGAGAGGGTGGAAAGAGGGAGGGGAAGGGAGGCCTGCAGCCACAGAAGTGCCAAGTGTGCTTCTAAGGTCCATTCTGTCCAGCCACAATCTTTCCCAGGCACATATCCAATGGGCTCCTCTGGAGACCTAGAAGAAAATCATGGGAACCAGCAGGAGCTTATACAGCCCCAGATGGAACCCGAAAGACAATGTGTGTGTTAGCAGCTGCTCAGAGCAGTGAGCGGACAGGTTGCAGGCACAGACAGCTAAATGCTCCCTAGATTTGTTGAGGGTGAAGGAAATGCTTCAGATTGGTGCTGGTTGCATCATTCGGTGAATAACTAAAAACACAAACCGCCTTTGCTTGCCTGCTTGTTTCTTTCTTTCTTTTCAAAACAGGGTCTCACTGTGTAGCCCAGAGTGACCTTGAATTCTCCATCTTCTGACCCTGGGCTTCCAAGTACTGAGAGGACAGACCTGTGTCACCATGCCCAGTTTGAATGACATGTGTACATCAGGTTATATGTGAATAAAGTGAAAAAACACACCTTGGCTGTTCCTGCATTCTTTCTCAACTACCACATCCCCTTCCCTACTGCCAGCCTTGCTTCACACATCCCCACCTCCACTGCCAGTCTAGGATAGCAGGGGCAGTCAAGGAACATTTCTGAATAATGTCCTAATGCTACCTGGGGACAGTGTGTGGAGAGGACAAAAGGGAGGGTGGGAGGCAACACAAGAGGGAACGGACTCAGCCTAACTCAGATAAAAAACAAAAAGGGCTGCATGTGACATACGAATGGGAAAAGGCTGTGTGCAGCCTGACACTGTGGTCAGAGGCTGCAAATGGCAGGTGGAGGGGGGGGGAGACGCTCAGTGTGACACACTGAGAGAAATGGCTCTGTGCAACACATATGTGCTCAGTGATCATATGGAACCCAGTTCTGTGACATACAGGAGGGCAGAGGGTCTCAAAGTGGCACATAGGAGGGACAGGCTATGTGGCTCATGGGAAGCAGGAGGGTCTCACGGGGACATATGTAGGAGTGATTCCATGACACATGGGAAATGAAGGATCTGATGTGCCGCATGAAGAGGAGGGGAATCATGTCATCTGGAAGAAAGCAGAGACTTCACATGATACATATACAGGAGGGTGTCCATCACACGCTGGAGAGACTAAGGGGTTCGATGCAGCATCCGTGAGGAATAAAGTTCCATGATATACGGGAGAGAGGAGTAGTTCAATGACATGTGGGGGAGGGGGCTCCGTACAACTCACATGTACAGGAGCGGCTCCATGAACCCTCCGAGCAACAGAGGTCCAAAGGGGCACATATAAAGGAGGAACTCTGACCCAGGAAAAGAGGGGTTCAGTAAGACACCTGTAGAGGGAAGTGTCCATGGAACATGGGAGAAAAGGACGAGGTGTGGCACATTTAAGTTATGTAACCTTGTGACATGGAGGGGATGAATGTTTTACACGCATGTTTTACATGCAGAGGCAGGGCCCCATGACACAAGGAGGAAGGGGATATCTCAATGTGTTACATGCAGAGGCAGGGCCCCATGACACAGGGAGGAAGGGGATGTCTCAATGTGTTACATGCAGAGGCGGGCCCCATGACACAGGGGAGATGAATGTCTCAGTGTGTTACATGCAGAGGTGGGAGCTTTATAACATGAGGGAAAAGGTCCACGTAACTAATTCATCTGGAGCATGAGAAGGGACGAGGTCTGCATGACACATGTTTGGAGGTGCTCATTTGATATGAGTGGAAAGGGAGCCCTGTGACACTCATGTGAATGAGGAGCTCCATGCAACATGAGGACAGGAGGGGC